CATGAGCATGGAATGTTTTCCCATTTGTGTCCTCTCTTATTTCCTTGAGAAGTGGTTTGTAGTTCTTGAAGAGGTCCTTCATGTCCCTTGTTAACTGTATTCTTAGGTATTTTATTCTGTTTGTAGCAATTGTGAATTGTAGTTCATTCATGATTTGGCTCTCTGCTTGTCTATTGTTCGTTTGTAGGAATGCTTGTTTTTTGCACATTGACTTTGTCTTTACAGCATTTTTGTTGTAGATGAGAAAACAGCCTCACAGAGTTTAAATAATGTTGTAGGCAGCCTCTAACTCACTGCAAAAGAGCAATGAGTAATAGGTGATTCCCACCTCCTGTTACTCATTGCTCTTTTGTAAGCCCCTCCACTTGAGTGTGAGCTGGATTAATAACTTGGTTTTGATGCATGGAATGTAACAGAAGTGTTACAATGTCATTTCTGAGATTACAAAAAAAAAACTGTGGTTTTTGTCTTGAGTGCATGTATGTTTATCCTTCTCCCACCTTCCCAACCACCATGAAAAGAAGTCTAAGCTATCCTATGAACAGAGGCCCTGGACAATAAAAGGCAACCTGGAAGAGAATTTAGGCACCCCAGCCAACAGGTGGTACCAACTGCCAGCAATGTGAAGGAGACTCTTCCAGCACTAGTTAAGGCTTCAGATGATGGAGCTGTAGAGGATGACTTGATTGGAACCTCAAGAGGGATGCTGAGTCAGAATCATCAAGCCAACCCACTCCTGGATTCTTGACCCATTGAAACTGTGGGATGTTTGCTGTTGTAAACCACTGAGTTTTGAGATAATTCGTTAAAGAGCAGTAACTACTATTAATACAAACTATCACAAGTTTCCTTCTAGGATTTCATAGCTAATAAATACTGAAACCAAGATTTGAGCTCATATTAATCCAATCCAAAGATTCTGGTAGCCACCATACTATTTTTCTCAATCTCTTTTACAATATTCTCTTTCTTTGCCTCTCCCTTGGAGATTTTCATCAACATTTTATCCTTTATTTTATTTTTCTCTCAAAATACACTCCCTGTAAGCAGTGTATTTCTTCTCCCCCCTCCTCTATCCCTTCCTCTCCCCCTCCTCCTCCTTCTCCTCCTCCTCTTCTTTTCCTCCTCCTCCTTTTGCTTATTCTCCTCCTTCTTCATTACCTCCTCATTCTTCTCCTTCTTTTCCTTCCTTCTTTCTTCTTTCTTCTTCTTTCTTCAACAGGATCTCCCTTTGTCACCCAGCCTGGAGTACAGTGGCATAATCATAGCTCACTACAGCCTCAGACTCCTGAGATCAAGCATTCCTCCCACCCCAGCCTCTCAAGTAGCCAGGACTACAGGTGTGTGCCACCATACCCAGCTAATTTTAAATAATATTTTATAGAGATGGGGTCTTGTTATGTCATCCAGGCTGATCTCAAACTCCTGGCCTCAAGTAATCCTCTCGTCTCAGCCTCCCCAAACACTGGGATTATAGGCATGAGCCATTTCTCCTGGTCCAACTTGTATATCTTTGGTTGTCATCTATCTGCCAATGATTTTCAAATCTACGTTTATAGTATTTATAGGCCAGTTTTCCCACACATCTAAACGTGCATTAGAATCCTAAAAGAAAACTGGGCAAACCATTCTGGTTATCGGCCTTGGGAAATAATTTATGACTAATTTCTCAAAAGCAATTGCAACAAAAACAAAAATTGACAAGTTGAACATAATTAAAGAGCTTCTGCACAGTAAAAGAAACTAGCAACAGAGTAAATAGACAACCCATGCAAACTATGCATCTGACAAAGGTCTAATATCCAGAATCTATAAGGAACTTAACTGAGCAAGCAAGAAACAACCTATTTAAAAAGTGGGAAAAAGACATGAACAGACACTTCTGAAAAGAAGACATATAAGCAGCCAACAAACATGAAAAAAATGCTCATCACTAATCATCAAAGAAATACAAATCAATATCATAAAGAGGTAACATTTCACACCAGGTGGAATGACAATAAGTCAAAAAAGAGGCTGGGCACAGTGGCTCATGCCAGTAATCCCAGCACTTTGGAAGGCCAAGATGAGTGGATCATCTGAGGTCAGGAATTCAAGACCAGCCTGGCCAAGAAGGTGAAACCCTACCTCTATTAAAAGTACAAAAATTAGCTGTGTGCAACAACACGTTCCTGTAATCCCAGCTACTCAGGAGCCTGAGGCAGGAGAATTACTTGAACACGTGAGGCAGAGGTTGCAGTGAGCTGAGATCCCACCGTTGCACTCCAGCCTGTGTGACAGAATGAGACTCCCATCAAAAAAAAAAAAAAAGTCAAAAAGCAACAGATGCCAGTGAGGCTGCAGAGAAAAGGGAAAGCATATATGCTGTTGGTGGGAGGGTAAATTAGTTCAGCCACTGTGGGAAGGTTGCTCAAAGAACTTCAAACAGAACTGTCATTCGACCTAGCAACACTATTACTTGGTATACAGCCAAAAGAAAATAAATCGCTCTACCAAAAAGACACATGTACTTTTATATGTATTGCAGTGCTTTTCACAATAGCAAAGACATGGAATCAACCTGGGTTCCCATCAATAGTGGATTTGATAAAGAAAATGTGGTACATATACACCATGGAATACTACACAGCCAAAAAAGAATACAATCATGTCCTTTGCAGCGACATGGATGAAGCTGGAGGCCATTATCCTAAGCAAATTAGCATAAGAACAGAAAACCAGGCCAGGCATGGTGGTTCACGCCTGTAATCCCAGCACTTTGTGGGGGCGAGGTGGGTGGCTCTGAGGTCAAGAGTTTGAGACCAGCTTGGCCAACACGATGAAACCCTGTCTCTACTAAAAATACAAAAATTAGCTGGGCTTGGTGGCGAGAGCCTGTAATCCCAGCTACTCGGGAGGCTGAGGCAGGAGAATCGCTTCAACCTGGGAGGTGGAGGTTGCAGTGAGCCAAGATTTGCACTCCAGCCTGGGTGACAGAGCAAGACTCCATCTGGGTGGGTTGCGGGGGGAGAACAAAAACCAAATACCAATTTTCTTATAAGTTGGAACTAAACATTGGGTACTCATGAACACAAAGATAGCAACAATAGATCCAGGGAATTACCACAAGAGGTAAGGAGGGAAGGAGACAACGGTTGAAAAACTACTGGGTACTATGCCTGCTACCTGGGTGATGGGATCAGTCATATCCCAAACCTCAGCATCATACAATATAGCCATACAACCAACCTGGACATGTACACCCTTAATCTAAAATAAAAGTTAGAATTATTTAAAGGCAAAAATAAATACATGTTCATTAGATATCACCACTTCAGCATATTACTAACTCTTCAAACTCTGCAAGTTCAAACTGAACTCATGATATTTTCCTTCAAATCTACTAGTATTCCTGTTTTTTTGTTCAAGGAATGCCACCCACACAGTCAATTACTTACCTAATCTGAACTCTGGGAGTCAATCTTGACCCACCTTCTCTCTCAGCCTTCACATCCAATCATTGACTGAGTCCTGTTAACTTCAGTTCCATAAATCACCAATCTGTTTACAGTTCTTCATCTCTACTGATATCACCTGGACTGCTGTGGCATTATCCTGATGTATCTGTCTGCCCCATGTGTTCCCTCCCTTTACTTTAGTGTTTTTCAGACTTCTAGGTGCAACCTATCAGTGGTTCACAGAAATTAGTTTGGTGGTTTGTGACTAGAATTCTTCTAAAAATGAAATGAAATAGCATAGAAAACATTAGAGAGTGTAATAATAGGTACTGTTGAGTGTGCTTATTGAGTTATAAAACATATTTTTCATTGCCGGTTTCCATCAATTAAGTTTAGAAAACATTAGTTCATTTTTTTGTATTGTAGCCAAAATAGTCTTTCCAGATCATGTTATTCATTCCTGTTTTAAACCCTTCAGTGACTTATCAGTGTCTTCCTGGTAGAGTTGAAACTCCTTAACATGCTGTGTTAGGCCCTTAATGACCCAGGCCCAGCTTACCTCAAGCCTCACTTCTCTTCATTCTTCTCTCTCTATGTAAGCTGTAGCCAAATGAAATGACTGATAGTTCAATGAATATATTCGTAATCTTACTTGTTCTCAAGCATCGTTATATGCCATTTATTCTTTCTGGAGTGCCTCCTTATCCCCATCTATGACTCTGTATCATACTTTAGGTATGTTTAGCTAACACCTTCTCCAAGAAACTTTCCTTGACTCCTCAAAGCAGGGACAGGAATATTCCTGTATGTGCCAATAGTAACCTGTATTTATGCCTATCAGAACACTTACTACATTTTATTAAAGTTGCCTATTATTTATTTTCTTATCTTCATACCAAACTGTAGTTTTTCAAGGATAAGGACTGTATTTTGTTCATCGTTGTATCCCAAAGCCTAGTACAGTGCTTCACATGTAACGTGTGCTTAATATATAGGGGAAGAAAAGGCATGTTGGAATGATTTGCTGTTTTAAGGATATATAAAAATACTGCTTCACCTAGCATGGTGATGAGCACCTGTAGTCCCAGTTACTTAGGAGGCTGAGGCAGGAGGATAGTGTGGGTTCAGAATTTTGAGGCTTGCTCCGCACTGTGATTGCACCTGTGAATAGCCACTGCACTGTAGCCTAGGCAACATAGCAAGACCTCTTTAAAAAATAAACTGCTCAAAACATTTTGCTTGCCATGTCTATCTTGTCTTTAATAATGGGTGGTTCTTCTATTACACATAACATTTGGTATTATATAATAATGTGGTATGCATGTTTGAAAATCTATAAAGGTCTCAATTTTGCTTAAATATGATAGAGTATATAAAATGAATGTAGAGTGATATTGTTATAAAGAGTATGATATATTAAACTCACTAAAAAATCATTTGGTTTCAAATAGAAATTGCCGAATGGTTGAACTGAAATACAGATTCCACATTTATCACATTTGCTCAGATGTTTTATGTTTATAAACAATGTTTTTTAAAAGACTCTCTTCCATTTTATACTAGAATGTTCCAGAAGTAAACAGTGAAAACAGTGAAATGTCAACTGAAAAACCAGAAAACACCATTATACAGAAATATAATACTGAGCAAGAAATAAGGGAAGAAAGTATGGAGAATTTTTCTTCAGATACTGAATACAGAGGAAAAGAGGAAAACAAAGAAGGCTCATTTATGGAGGAAATCATTATAGAAGGTAACCTTAAAATTATATGGGTATTTTCTAATTTATATGTTGATGTTCACAGTAAATATTTTTGGGAAAATTACATTTCTGCCTCCCCTCTTTATGACTTATTCCTTGTCTTTTTGCATTCTGGTTTCTGCCTTCACTGTTTTGCTGAGAATGTTCTTGGAATCACCAGTAACCTTCTGATGACCAGACTTAGGGTATTTTTCTTAATTCAGATAACCTTTCTGCAACCATTGGAATACTTATTAATTCTTCCATTTTTAAAAAGCATTATTTAAAGATGATACTGATTGGAGGTGTTCAAACGTAGGCTAAACAACCACTTGGTGGAGATGTTGTAGAGAGAATGATTGGACTTTTAAAAAGTCCTTCAAAAACCTTATATTCTAGATGATCTGTACTAAAAAGTTGAGATCTTTGTTAGAATATAGATTTCAATATAGAATATTAAGTAGATATTCTATACAGTTGTCTAAAACAATTCCAGAATTTAAAAATACTCACTGGGTAATGAATAAAAGTGATGACTGTCAGTCTTGAAGAAGCCAGCTAGCAATTTCTGGATACTACTGGATCTGGGTAGTAATAGAAATTACAGTGTAACCTCTTAGATAAATTAATTTTTATCAGTTCTGTGTTTATGTGGAATTGTAGTATATGTCCTAAATGAAGCAGATAGACTAGAAAAATAAACCATTTTATAATACCTCAACTTCCCCTTTTTAAAACCAAAAATACTTTGCTGTTATGAAATTAAAGTTTAATATGGGTACAGCCAAATATTTAGCATGCTAAAGATATGCTCATTATAATAAAGGGAACCAAATATTTAGGTAATATTGATGTCATTAAGTTTGTAAAATTATTGACCAATGAAATATTTAAGGTTAAATATGTTTTTATAAAAATAGGTGATAAATACGTTTTATGAAATCAGGCTTTAGTGTATAATGTAAAATTTTACTGTGTTCCCATCATGACAGATTTACAGCTTTTTGAAAAAAGCGTCAAGAATGAAATTGATACTATTGTATCTCAGGATGAAAATCAAAGTGAAATCTCCTTAAGCAAAACCCTCTGCTTAGATAAAGAAGTAATTAGTCAAGGACAAACCTCGAATGTTATGGACAATAGAAAATCAGTTGCTACAGAAATAAAAGACAAGATGTGCTTGGAAAAAGACCATGGATGTACAGAATTAAAATCACCAAATAATCCTTTTTTAGTGTTAGATACAGCGATAACAGAAAAAATACATCTAGAAAGAACTGAAGGATTAGATGTTCACCATACAGATGTACATCTGGAGGTTGAAAATAAAAAAACATCATTTAACAGTATTTTAAATGAGACAGCATACAATACATATAATAATAAAGATGCTTCTGAAAACAAACCATTCAAACAATTCAGATTGCTTCAAGGGACTCGAGAACCTGCTATAGAGAAGGAAATTCCAAATAGTGACCAAACCAAAGCAGATTTGGATTCATCTCTAGATATAAAAAAAAATCCTGTTCCATCTCAGAAACATAGTTTACAGAATTCAAGTAATGTTATGTTAGATGATGAACAATGTAAAATAAAACAAATACAACTGTTAATTAAAAAAAGTGAGTGCAGCATATTACCTTCTAAACAAACTTCAGATTTTCTGCAAGTCTGCAATGATACTTCAGAGAAGGCTGAACTAACTGTTCCCTGTGATACAGTAATCGATCACCACGTTTCATCTGCTGCTTTTAGTGATAATTCAAAAGTACTTCTTAAGAACTCAGATAAAAATGTTAATAGTATGCCTGTGTTGATGAAACCCAGCTCAAGCACTGGGGCAAAAACTATGTGTAAAAATATGAGTGATATGCAAAACAGTCAATTTAATAACTATTTGGGATATTTAGAAAACAATAATGTGAACATTTCCCATCTTCATCTTAACAATGAGAAGAATAGTCATGCTTCACAAGCCAAAGATGTGAAAACTGCTGTTCACATGAAAACCTGCACAGAAATACAGTTTTCCAATAAAGAGAATCAGGTAACTGAAGCCACAAAAAATGACCTCTTCCTTTTTGTGAGCATTAATGAAAGACAGCATACATTGTTAAATAATACAGAGAAAACAGAGTCATTAAATGACATCGTTTCAGGAAAAATGTTCAGTGAAGGACAGCTGGAGGAATCACATTCATTTCACATAAAGCCATCTGGAGATTTAGTAAACAGAAGCGGAAGGTCAACCTTTGATCTTTCAACTTCAGATAAAAAAACTGAGAAAACTCCAGTATACATGAATTTTTCAGCCCCCAGTCCGTGGTCAAAAGTAAATCACATTGAAAGTCAAACAGCAAGTAGTTCAACCCCTAGCGTTTCTTCGTTGCTGAAGGAGAGACCACTAGATCCATCAGAAAACAAAAAGATCATTTCCATGGCTCTTTGTAAAAATATTGCTGTGGATGATGTCAGAAAGGATATTGGACCAGGTAAGAAAATGTTTTAGTTCTTAAAATGTTTTTCTACTTACTCTTGTTAAATGTTTACAATCATATTGTTAAATTTTGTTTTAAAAGTTTGTTTTCATTAAGGAATAGCAAAACCAACAGATGTGGGTCATTATTTTAAATTAGGAACAACTACTTAATATGATTCTCTTGTTTTTTAACTTTTAGAGCAAATGCAGTGAAGTAGTTAAGGCTTCTGCCAAGTGTGCATATTTATTGCTCTTCTTTGTATACGCTCATCATTCATCCTGAAAAACTTCCTTCCCTCAGAACATTTTAGTTTCTCTCCTGTGTTGTCTTTCTTTGCCCAATTTCTCTCCCTTTCCTTAATTTTTCTATTTTTATCTGTCCCTTCATCCACACCACAAATCCGGCTCTTCCTTCTGTTCTATAAGTAATAGTGAAACATAACATCAATATATTTCCTATGACCAGTATTTGTCAGTTTAAAACACTTTAAATTGAATCCCTTAATATATATTAATGCATTCAGATGTTAAAGAGAATAGAGGGATTTTTCTGTTCTTAAAAACGGCCTAGGCCAGGCCTGGTGGCTCACGCCTGTAATCCTAGCACTTTGGGAGGCTGGGGCAGGTGGATCTCGAGGTCAGGAGATCAAGACCATCCTGGCTAACACGGTGAAACCCCGTCTCTACTAAAAATAAAAAAAAATAGCCAGGCATGGTAGCATGCGCCTGTAGTCCCAGCTACTCGGGAGGCTGAGGCAGGAGAATCGCTTGAACCTAGGAGGCGGAGGTTACAATGAGCCAAGATTGTCACTGCACTACAGCCTGGGCAACAAAGCGAGACTCCGTCTCAAAAAATAAAATTAAAAAAAAGAAAAAAACCCTGCCACATGAAAATTACATAATGTCCAAGCTTTATTTTAGGATACTCCAGAAAAAAGTAGGGGGAGAGGTAAATGGATGAAATACATATAACTTAAGATTGATGGGTACTGAAGTACATGGCTATGTTTTTGTTTTATTTTTTTTTGTTTTGTTTTGAGATAGGGTCTCGCCTGTTGCCCCGCCTGGAGTGCAGTGGCATGATCATAACTCACTGCAAGTTTGACCTCCCAGACTGAAGAAATCCTCCCACCTCAGCCTCCTGAGCACCTGGGAGTACAGACATGCCACCGCACCCAGCTAATTTTTAAAATTTTTGGTAGAGACAGGTCTCACTTTGTTGCCCAGGCTGGTTTTGAATTTCTAGGCTCAAGTGATCCTCCTGCCTCAGCTTCCCAAATTGCTGGGAGCCACCATATCCGACCTGGAAATTTTTCACAAAAGTATTTAAAAATAAAAACATGCTATATATCATGAATTGGTACTGTATGAATGTAAATTGAAAATAAAAAGCAGTAGTTTAAGAAGTATGATCAGGAAGAAAATGGTGTTTTTATTTTTTATTTTCAGGATAGCATGTTTTCTTTTCTGTTCTTTTTTTTTTTTTTTTTTTTAAGCAGAAGCTGAGGTTGTTAATTTCAAACCTTTCTTCTTTTTTGATATGGGTGTTTTAGTTTCATAAATTTAGATGTATCTTATAAATTTTTTTTTGAGATGGAGTCTCACTCTGTCGCAGGCTGGAGTGCAGTGGCATCCTCAGCTCACTGCAACCTCCGCCTCCTGAGTTCAAGCAATTCTTCTGCCTCAGACTCCCAAGTAGCTCAGACTATAGATGCATGCCACCACTAATTTTTGTGTTTTTAGTAGAGATGGGGTTCCACCATGTTGGCCAGGATGGTCTCAATATCTTGACCTTGTGATTCGCCTGCCTCAGCCTCCCAAAGTGCTGGGATTACAGGCGTGAGCCACCACACCTAGCCAGCATGTTTTCTTTTAATAGCAATCTCATAGTCAAAAGTTGCTGAGGTTATTAAGGACATTCTTAGATTTTAAGGGAACTTTGTGGGTTTAGCATTGTGCACTTAGACACCTTAAAGAGATGCAGATTCAAGAAAAGTTTTTATATTACCCTCAGATTTAATAGGCTTCTTTTAAAAAGGAAACTAAGAAAAATTTAAAGAGAATATTTGGTGATTAAAAACAAAAACATCTCGTTTACTAGCATCAATGGTAAATAATGCAGGCAAAAATCAAATAACCAAAACACTGTGTAACCTCATTTCCCAAACTAATCTTTCAATGTTCCAAAATATATTATTTAAGATTCCATTAACTTTTAGTTAGGTACTGCTTTAGATGCTGGTCTAAAAATCTATCTACCATTTTTTCTGAAGTCCTTTCTTGTAAATTAAATTACGTTGATATATAAGAAATAAAGGGTGATATCTAAAATTCTGTAGAAATTCAAACGTGAAATCCTCTTAAATATGCCATCAGTATCTTTTAACCTGTATAATTTGCATATTTCTCTCTAACTCATTTCTATCAACTTATTAAAGCTGAATGTGACCCCTTCTAAACAGCCCTTTGTTGGACTTCTCAATGTGGCCAGTTTCTTTAAATAGTTTATAAATGTAGTCTCTGGGCCTAACTTTTTCCCTTAATCTGAGTTGGCAAAATATTCACTATATAAATGCTTACATGTGTGGGCAATACAGTAACCAGGGGAATAATGATAACACTGTATGAGTTATTTTGTTTTACAAAGTATTTATATCATTTCTTTCACTCCTTTTAATGTGGAATTATAGTAATCAGATTTTAGAAAGTGGCAATAATAAAATCTCAGTTTCTGAAATGAAATCCCTGATATAAGAGCAAATCTTGGAAAACTGCAAAATATTCAACATAAAAATAGAAATTGTTGCTTGTTAAATACAAAAGCATAGGATCAGAAACAAGTTCAGTCACTAAAATGAGTACCTAGAAAAAAACTCAGTTCTGCCATTTCCTCTTTGTCAATCAGATAATACCAGCATTAACAGAGTTGCTGACACTTTGAATAACTGGAGTATCCATCCAGATCCCAAGGGAGAACCCAGTGAAGAGAAGAATGCAATTGCAAAGACTTTTTATGATTCTTCTTTTCCCACAGAACATGTAAGTCAATTAAAAATATTGCCGAGCAGACCTTAGTGAGCTAATTCTACAGATATGTGTAGAACTGTACGCATCTGGATGCATTAAGACCTAACTGATCTCCAAAATAATATCAAGAGGGCAACATGGCACCATTTTTCACAATTAAGCTTGATAGAAAACAGCAGGAAAAAGTCACAGTGTATAAATCAAATAGATACAATCCAGCCTGTTTTGAGAAGGAGAGTGTGAGGCATTGGATTATATACTTCTATTTTTTACTCATCTAAATTTGGAAAAGTGGTATTTAAGCATTTAAAACTTTATGTTAATACAAGATGATGTCTAAAAGTAAGTTAGATTATATTTAATAATGCTTAAGTTAATTTACATTATTTTTGGAAATTGAGATGGAAAGAATTGAAAACTCAGAATACGTGTGAAAGGATCAAGTATCCATATGATACTGTATGGATGTATGTATTAAGCAAAATATTTGTAGAAATTATATGACTTCCTGGAGTCTATTTGTCATAAGGAAAGCAACTAACTATAGCAGGAAGGTCATGTGATTAAATGTGTAAGTTTTATATCATTGTGTGTAGAACCTTAGCAAGAAAAAGGTTGCAGTGTTCAGTCTATTAAACAACTTTCACTTTAACACATACAAAATGAATATTATAGTATTAACACATCCTTAACAAATAACAGCTTTAGCAATGCATTTTATTTTCATTTCTAAGTAGGAGAAACCTCAGGTTAGATAGTATAACTCTTCTGGGAGAGTTGAGACAAAAGTCAGGAACTACCCTTGATATGGTTTAGCTTTGTCCCCACCCAAAGCTCATCTTGAATTGTCACTGCCAACAATTCCCAAGTGTCATGGGAGGAACCTGGTGGGAGGAATTGAATCATGGGGGTGGGTCTTTCCCGTGCTTTTCACGTGATAGTGAATAAGTCTCACAAGATCTGATGGTTTTAAAAATGGGAATTTCCCTGCACAAGCTCTCTTCTCTCTTGCTGCTGCCATTTAAGAATTGCCTTTCACCTTCCACCATGATTATGAGGCCTCCCCAGCCACGTGGAACTGTAAATCCGTTACATAGGTTTAATGGATTTCCCAGTCTTGGGTATATCCTTAGCAGCTTGAAAACAAACTAATACAGTAAATTGGTACCAGGAGTCTCTAGTGTTGCTGAAAAGGTACCTGAAAATGTGGAAATGACTTTGGAACTGGGTAACAGGCCAAGGTTGGAACAGTTTGGAAGGCTCAGAAGACAGGAAAATGTGGGAAAGTTTGGAACTCCCCTAGAGACTTGTTGAATGGCTCTGACCAAAATGCTGATAATGGTATGAATGATGAAATCCCATCTGAGGTGGTATCAGATGGAAATGAAGAACTTGTTGGGAACTGGAGCAAAGGTGACTCTTGTTAGTTTTAGCAAAGAGTGGTAGCATTTTGCCCCTGCCCTAGATAGAGATTTGTGGAACTTTGAACTTGAGAGATGACTCAGGGTATCTGGTGGAAGAAATTTCTAAGCAGCAAAGCATTCAAGAGGCAACTTGGGTGCTGTTAAAGGCATTTAGTTTTATAAGGGAAACAGCATAAAAATTTGGAAAATTTGCAGCCTGAAATAGAAAAGAAAATCCCATTTTCTGAGGAGAAATTCAGGCTGGCTCTGAAATTTGAATAAGTAACAAGGAGCCAAAGGTTAATCTCCAAGACAATGGGGAAAATGTCTCCAGGGCAAGTCAGAGGTCTTCATGCAGCTCCTCCCATCAAAGGCCCAGAAGCCTAGGAGGAAAAAATGGTTTTGTGGGCTGTGCCCAGCATCCCCATGCTGTGTACAGCCTAGGGACATGCCCTACATCCCAGCCACTCCACCTGTGCTTAAAAGGGGCCAAGACACAGCTCAGACCATTGCTTCAGAGGGTTTAAGCCCCAAGCCTTGGCAGCTTCCATGTGGTGTTGACCCTGAGAATGAACAGAAGTCAAGAATTGAGGTTTGGGAACCTCTTCCTAGATTTTAAAGGATGTATGAAAACGCCTGGATGTGCAGACAGAAGTTTGCTGCAGGGGCGGGGCTCTCCTGGAGAACCTCTGCTAAGGCAATGTGGAAGAGAAATGTGGGATCAGAGCCCACAGAGTCCCTACTGGGGTGCTGCCTAATTGAGTTGTGAGAAGACGGCCACTGTCCTCCAGACCCCAGAATGAGATCCACCAACAGCTTACGCTGTGCATCTGGAAAAAGCCACTCAATGTTGGCCCATGAAAGCAGCCAGGAGGGAGGTTGTACCCTGCAAAGCTGCAGAACTGCCTAAGACCATGAGAACCCACCTGTTGCATGAGCATGACCTGGCTGCCCTGATGGATTCTGGACTCGCATGGGGCCTATGGCCCCTTTGCTTTGGCCAATTTCTCCCATTTGGAATGGCTGAGTACCCTGTGCTCCCACCGTAGGAAGTAACTGGTTTGCTTTTGACTTTACTGGCTCATAGGCGGAAGGGACTTGCATTATCCCAATGAGATTTTGGACTTTTGAGTTAATGCTGAAATAAGACTTCAGGGGACTGCTGGGAAGGGCATGATTGGTTTTGAAATGTGAGGTAAGATTTGGGAGGGGCCAGGGGCACAATATGATCTGGCTGTGTCCCCACCAAAATCGCATCTTGAATTACAGTTGGTCTCACAATTCCCACGTCATGGGAGGAAACTGGTGGGAGGTAATTGAATCATGGGGACCAGTCTTTCCTGTTGTTCTCGTGATAGTGAATAACCATGAAATCTGATGGCTTTGAAAGTGGCAATTTCCCTGCACAAGTTCTCTTCTTTTGCTGCTGCCATGTAAGAATTGCCTTTTGCCTTCCACCATAATTATGGAGGCCTCCCAAGTCACATGGAACTGTAAGTTCATTAAACCTATTTTTTCTTCCCAGTTTCTGCTATGTCTTTCTTAGCAGTGTGAGAATAGACTAATATACCCTTTTCACATTTTCCTAATTGAGCTCATCAAGCAACAGTATAGTTTCCACTTAGTCTGTGTAAGTGTGTATTATTAAGATATAGTGACTAAAGAGCAATAACTTTGGTATTAGAAAATCTAAGTTTTAACCTGGCCAACTGAATAAGTCATAGAATCAAAACAAAGAGGAAGCTTGAAAGCATCAAAGCTAAACATCCATTTCTAATTAGGGCTAATCCTTAACCCGTGTAAGATAGCTGTTCTACTTTCAAACATCTCCCTTGAAAGCCCATTTTTATAATTAATCTAATGGGGAAGTTCTTCCTTTTTGTCTAATTCCTCATGCTCTATCTGCAACTAATGTTGCTTTTAAGAATTTATTTTTGGCCAGGTGTGGTGGCTCACACCTATAATCCCGGCACTCTGGGAGGCTGAGGTAGGCAGATCACAAGGTCAGGAGTTTAACACCAGCCTGGCCAATATGGTGAAACCCCACGTCTACTAAAAATACAAAAAATGGCCAGGCGTGAGGCCGGGCGCGGTGGCTCAAGCCTGTAATCCCAGCACTTTGGGAGGCCGAGGCGGGTGGATCACGAGGTCAAGAGATCGAGACCATCCTGGTGAAGATGGTGAAACCCCGTCTCTACCAAAAATACAAAAAATTAGCTGGGCATGGTGGTGCGTGCCTGTAATCCCAGGTACTCAGGAAGGCTGAGGCAGGAGAATTGCCTGAACCCAGGAGGCGGAGGTTGCGGTGAGCCGAGATCAACGCCATTGCACTCCAGCCTGGGTAACATGAGTGAAACTCCGTCTCAAAAAAAAAAAAAAAAAAAAAAAGGCCAGGCGTGGTGGCAGGCACCTGTAATCCCAGCTACTTGGGAGGCTGAGGCAGAACTGCTTGAACCTAGGAGACAGAGGGTGCAGTGAGCCGAGATCACACAAGGCACTCCAGCCTGGGCAATAGAGTGACTTCTTTCATCTAAAAAAAAAAAAAAAAAAAAAATTTATAGACTTTTTAACTTTTTCATCCTGCAAGGTACAGATGAGGTAACAGTGACATAAATGTGAAATAACTTTTCAGGGTCATTAAGACACAGTATGTGGTGGACCTAGGCTAGGTATCTTGGCTCTTAGTCAAATGCTATCTTACATTTTCTAAACCTTCAAAATAGAAAAAATGTTTATTCTGAAAGACTTGTGCATATAAAGCAAACTCAATTCACTGGCTGAACAGACGTTTTCCAAGTGCTTATTACTTTGTGTCAAGTACTATGGTAAGCATCATTGTCTCAGATTAAAGCTTGGTTATAAAGTTTCATGTAATGTGGGGCAAATTCAAAAGTAGATCTCCTTACAAATTTAAGACAGAGCCACACCCATTCCTTTGCACACTGTAAAGGCTGTTTTTGCACAGCACTGAGAATTGAGCTGTTGTAAGAGGCCATTTGGCCCACAAAGCTGTAAATACTTACTGTGGCTCTTTATGGAAAAAGTTTATCAACCTCTGTTCTAAATGAATTTTATGAAAACTTATAGCCAAAAAATTGAAGTTCTTTTTATTTTTCAACGTTATTTTATGTACAGCATACTCTGTTTAATTCAGGGAAGATATTAAGTACCAATCCACTTTCTATGGGTTCAAAGTAACTTGATAGTATGTTTTTCGTTCTTGTTAATGGTGTTAGGTTGGTAGCCTGCTGCAATCTTGATTATATCCAGGAATGAGAATGGAAGGCCAGAGTAAGCAAAGCAAGCCACTTACTTTTTTATATCCAATGAATTAGATTCATTTAAGTTAAATTTTAAAATGGAATCCCAGGCAGTAATAAAAGGACTGGTACCAAGTGAGGAGATATTTTTAGGCCAAAAATTAGATCTTGTGAGGCTGAAAAAGGAAATAGATGATAAATTTCTAAAAAGAGGAGATAGGGGAAAGAACAAAGATACATGGCAATATATCTTGACAACAGCTAGAGCTAAAATTACTGTGCAGAGGCTGCAGAACCCTCAGGTAAGCTAAACAGGACAAGTTTTGTTGAGTGTAAACATTAGCTATTCTACACTGTACCTTGTTTCTCTAAAGCCAACCCCTGCTCCTACCCTTACCACCAAGTGGGTAGTTAAGAGGAAAGAAACTAAAGCAGTTATGTGTAAATGTGGCCGTCCTTTCCATCAAGATAAAAAAGTCAAAGAATCGGGATTTTGGGAAATCGTTAATTTGTACTTGGATGCCAAATACACCAAAATGAACCTAACATTTTGATGGCAAAATGGGACATTATATCATGCAGATCACCAGTCATTTTACTTCAGAATTAGTAGCAACCTGGATTTAGATTTAATCTATTTTTCCCCGTCTGTTTTTGGTACTGTATGAATTACTTAAAATCTTTTCTGGCCCCATGAACTAAATAAAGTATGGTGAACACACTTGTATAGTAGACACTATCAGAAATATTTTATCCATTACCAAATAGTTATTCTTTCCAGTAATAGCATCAGGGAACTAAAAGGAGCAAATGAGTAAACTGAAGCCCACAAAAATTAAATGACTTGCCTAAGTTGTCTTAGCAGTCCTGTGCAGACACTTTTGGAAGAAAAAAGGCAATCATCAGACAAATATGAACACAGAATCACCCTAAGGATCAGAGTTAAAACTCTGAGGAGACTAGTAGTTGATTATAAAATTTTCAGGAAGGGAGCCAAACAGAGCAATCCAAAAGGAAAAATCCTTACGGAGCCGTGAACTTACCATTCTAAACATTTAAGTTCATTTAAGAAATAAACATTACTACATAGTCTAACACTGAAAATGACAATGTTAGTAATATGCCACTTTTACCAAATTGAAACAGATTTTAATGTAAGGCAGTACTCAAAGATCTTCATAAAGATTCCTGAACAAATGATATTCACTGCAGCCTAGTTAATAACTGTGATCATTTTCTTAAAATTTAAATGTCCAAAAATAAATTACAGAACACAGAATATAACAGAGCTATCCTCTTAACATGTTAAGAACGGGAGGAAATGCTAAAAATGTTCAACACAGCATATAAACAAATACAAATATCCCAATATTTAAAAAGTGTATACAGAAAAAGACCAGGAGATATACACCAAACTCTTTAATGGTGGTTGGGATTGTGGGTGATTTTAATGTAATTCTATCCTGTTCCATATTTCTAAAATACATTTGCATATCCCTTACAAATAAAAAACAATACAGTATTGCTCACTCCTGTAATCCTAGAACTTTGGGAGACTGAGGCAGGCAGATCACTTGAGCCTGAGAGTTAAGAGACTAGCCTGGGTAACGTGGCAAAAAAATCCAAAAATTAGCTAGGTGTAGTAGCACATGCCTGTAGTCCCAGCTACTTAGGAGGTGAAGGTGGGAGGATCACCTGAACCTAGGGAGGGCAAAGCTGCAGTGAGCTGTTTTATTATGCCACTGCACTCCAGCCTAGGCGACAAGGTAAGAGCCTATCTAAAAAAAAAAGTCCACTATAATTGTTATTTTGAAAACAATTCAATAGTCCTTTTATCTTTATTTTTGAGACAGGGTCTCACTCTGTTGTCCAAGCTGGAGTGCAATAATGCAATCTTGGCTCATTGCAACCTCTACCTCCTGGGCTCAGGTGATCTTTGCACCTTGGCCTCCGAGGGAGCTGGGACTAGAGTTGCACACCACCATGCCCAACTAATTTTTGGTAGAGATAGGGTTTTGCCATGTTACCCAGGCTAGTTTTCAACTCCTGAGCTCATGCAATCCACTCACCTCAGCCTCCCAAAGTGTTGGGATTACAGGTATGAGTCACTATGCCTGGCCTAGTATTCTTTTTGAGGAGAAAATTTTATCTGGGAATCTCTTAAAAACATCAAAAATTATTTTTCAGGAAATTAACGAATTAATTTTTGCTAGGGATAAACTGGAAACTTTCAATAGGAGATAAGTTAAATCATCACACATCCATAAAAGGGAGTATTTTGCAGCCACAGACAATTGTGCATAACAACCAATTGTTTATAACAAAAACTTCTCACAGGAAAATATAAAATTCTATAGAATGATTAAATAGGCTAAAAATAGGAAAAAAGACTAGCAGCAAATAATACCAAAATGTCAAGTCGTCTCTCTGGATAAGGGATTACTAATGATTTTTAGTTTCTACTTTTCTCTATTTACTAAATTTTCAATAAGTTTTTTAACAAAAGAAACTTAAAATGAGTTAACACAGTATTTTAAAAATTATCCAATACAGTGCCTTGAAAACATGCCAATTTCCAAATATTTGCTCCTTCCTGTTTCTTCAACAATGATATTCTGAAGCATGAGAGGAAACATGAATTAAAAGGCAGTTTTTGTACACTTTACTTATGTTACATATTAGAGATTTTGAAGATCTACTACATAAGCCTACACATTCACATTGTATAGTTTTCTGGTGCCAAAACTACTAAATTAGTGGAAATCAGCCAAGAAAATGGTGGTTTTACCACACAGTCATAACTGCAGAGGCTTTACAGACTCTTTAAAGTCTTTTGTATAGTAATTTCAACAGTAAAATCAGTTTGGTCTTTCCTAGGTGAAAAGAAAACCTCTGAAATCAACTCCACTACAAAGCCATTTGCAGGCAATCAGGACTAAAGATACTTCTGGTGATGATGACTGGAAGAGCCTCATTACAAATCAAATAAATGAAAGTGAAAAGTTACCAAATTTAGAAAATGACAGCCAATCAAAAAAAAGAAAAGCACAAGAGATGCTGGAAAAAACAATAGATTAAAATAATGTAGATAAGTGCTTTCAGTAGTGAAGTGATGTAACTGAAATACTGGTACAGTTTTTACTAGAATGAAGTGACATTTAAAGCTCTACAGTTGTCTTCACTTTTCCAACTTTTTCTGATGTGAAGAAATTATATTACTCTTATATACTTGCTTTGAAGATGCATCATTTAAGACCGCTATCTTTTTATTTGCAGAGTATACTGTGAGCATCCACTTCCCTTTAATTTTAAACTTCTGTTTTCCCTCTGTATATTATTCTTTCTTTAAAGTACTTTTTGCTTCTTCAGTATCCTTTTTTACAGAATTTATGTATTGTATAACAGACATATTGTGTGACCCTCTGTAATTTATGACTTCGTATCCTCTGGAGTTTGTGATTTTAATATAAATTTGAGACAATAACTGTCCATACTAGGCAAATTTTTTTTTAGTTTATAATGTTTTACTATGATTTAGGGATTTTTTTTTCCCAAAAAGAACAAAAATTACAAGCATAAAAACTCAGGTATCAGAAAGACTCAAAAGGCTGTTTTTCACTTTGTTCAGATTTTGTTTCCAGGCATTAAGTGTGTCATAGAGTTGTTGCCACTGCTGTTTTCCAAATGTCCGATGTGTGCTATGACTAAAAATTGAAAAAGTAAACAGTGTTAGTCAACCTTTTATCCCCTGGTATTCTTTTATAATACTACAGATTTGAATCCAGCTAAAACCAAAATTAAATACACATAAGAGACATAATTTAAAATTGTAAAAGAATTTAAGAATTACATATTTATTTTTCAAAAATCTTTACCATATTGATCCTAAGCCTTCTAGAAGATTCTGAACAACTATATAAAGCAGACATGAAAGTCATTAGTATTCCAGCCAATGCTCAGCCATTAAATGAAATGTGCTGGAAAATAGGACTCTTTCATTAAATAAGCTAATCACATTCAGTCTGAGCTTTAATAAAATTATGATAAATAGCAACTATTTAACTACAGTCAACTGATAACACCACCTTGGTTCTCTAAACATTTAAGTGAAATAATTGGAACAAACTAAATCGTTCTATAAAATGCTGCAAAGCATTACATATCTTACCTGACAACTACTTTTCTCTGGGTCTGATCAATTTTGCAGTAGACCATTTTAGTTCTTACAGCTGAAAAAGATGTTTACATTGTATGTTATATGGAAAATTTCCAAGAAAAATAGCTAAGGTATGAAACTGTGACAAAGTAAGCCATAATAAAACTTTTGTTTTCCAACATTACAAACTGATTGTTTAAATCTAATAAGCAAAGTAGTATGAGGCAACCAAGAAGAAGGTCGTGTATTTTGTCCTATGGCTGCTGGGACATTCTGTATTAAATATTGCATACTGTTTGTTGTTGTTTCTTTATTTTTAAGAATTCTAGGTGTTCTTCCCTATCATCTCATATGGGGGAATAAACTAATTTCCTACAAAGTTATTCTTTATAGAAGACTTAGATCATTAGGGGAAAAAAGGTCAATAGTTCTGTACCTTTTATTAATTTTAATTGCATTATCCAACTTTCAAATTTAAAAAGCTCAGAAAAAATTCCTGAGCAGTTAAGTTGCTTTATAATCCAATTGTTGGGGAAGAAGTTCTTGTTTCTAGGCTAATCATAAGAAAACTGCTAATAGTTAACACTTGTAGATCATTTACTATGTTCCAGGCACTGTGCTTTATCTGTATTAATTCATTTAATCCTTACAACCACAAATGAATCCCTACATTCCTGTTTGACAAAGGAAGGACCTGGTCATACATCCATGTCTAATACTAAAATCTGTGCTCTTTACTACAATGGTGTATTGCCTAAATGTCTTTGTTTTATGTGAATTGAAGGGATATAATATAGCAGTTTATAATTCTACTAAATTTTCACCCTACAACAAATATATCCACTAATCTACTAAACATACATCTGCTACAAACAAATCTTTAAGTCTCAGTTTCAAGATACATATCTATGTTCCACGTAGATGAGAAATCCTAGAAATAAATGAAAATGTTCTATCTGCCTTACCATCAATAACAAATGCTTCAACATCATCAGCTCCAATCTGAAGTTCTTGCTGCATTGTATCAAAAGAAATTTCTTTATTTTCCACTGCCATTCCCATAAAAGTAAGTAGTCTCATTTTTGCCATATTTTGTTCATGTAATAGGCCTAAATAACAGAATAATGAAACCTGATGAGTGTTTATACTAATTAACGACCTGCACAATTACATCTCCTGTTGTGAAAATTATTATTTTTGTCATTGTGGAAATTACTGAGCACTTAAATAATTTTGACAGAGCTTCTTATATTAGCAAACTATTAACTGACTCCATAGAGTATTAAAAATCATTTTTCTATAGTACCACAGGTGATAGATTTGGGCCATAAAATGATTATTTTTAGACCCTAGAAGTTTTGTATATTTTTGTACAACATTAGTTACACATTTTAGGAAATAAAATCTACAACATATATTTCGTAAGAACAATTTCTGTTCATTTAAATTACCTAAGCTTATTTTCACATTAATAGCTCTTCATTTAAATACAGAGAATTCTTATCTACCTACTAGTTTTTTCTGTGTTAACTATTACTGGTAAACATGAAGTTTTAAAATATTTTCACAAATATTTTCAGTTATGAAAATACTCCATTTCACTTCAGGTAACCATTTAAAAATCAAAACTACATACAAATCAAAACTGTCAAAGTATGTTTGTCATTTAACCTTTATAGGCCAATACAGTTAGTACTAGATAAAATTAAACAGTACCATTAACAGTGATACTTGTTCTTTATAAGGCACAGGCAGAAAATTGCACAAATAATTCAAATTTTCCATTATAATTTCTAATGAAACATGCTGTTGTAATTATTCAGATAACAACAATGTGTTAGTCCTAAAAGAAAACTTAAGGAATTACCCAGTCTGAATCATTTCACCCTAAAAACAAAACTGAGAAGCAAAGAGATTAAATGGCGACTTATAGTCCAAAAGCAGCAGTGCTAGGCCTGGAATAGGTTCATTTGTAAAATAAAGGGCTAGAAATTTTAAAACTTACAGATCCTAAATATATAACCTAGTCCTAAGTAGAAGCAGAATTCTACTTGTTTTGATGCTAACTTATTAATTAAAAAACCAAATTTCTAAATCTAGATTTATATGTTCCTTTTCTCTGAACTTTCAAATTATGTAAAATCAGCAAATGATCAATCAAGTGCCCTCCAATAAATTCAGAGCTTCAAGTCTGTATTGTTTAAAAAGTTATCTAAATACTCCATAAATAAATTTTAAATTTATAACATTCACATATTAGTAGAAGAGCATGGAAGCTCATTAATATAGAGCATGATCATCTGTTAATTAGCTGTAATTATGATACAGGCTTCCTATTTGGCACAGATTCAACAAAAACATGATCATCATAACTCAAATGAATGAGGTACATAAGTAAGCATTGCTAACTGCGTTTAATGGAAATCTACAGGCATCAAGAAATCAATTAGTGCACATTAACCCTAATTAACAAATGCAAATTAGATGCTGATTAACTTTCTGAAGCAAAAGGTAGCAACTGGATAACACCAGATTACATGTGGACATGTTAGGGCAATCAGTTGACACAAGATAATGCTACTGTTGGCCTAAGTTGTCAGTGTTAATAAAAGAAAATGTTTTGACAAACTGATTGCAACTTGTGGAATACAGACAGTTGTCACTAGGCTTTTAGCTGTAATAAATGTTTTATTATACAATTAAAATAAAATATATACATATTTAATATAAAAATGTTTTCTCAGAAGCATATATACAAATTTCTAATAGAATACTGATTTGCACAGATGTTCAAGAAACATAAGGCAAATGAGGGAATTTGAATTCTAGCTGGCACAATAAGCAACATTCTGAATTTTTTCCTATCAAAGAACATGTATCAAAAGATTTTTTCAAAAATTCCTTAACATTCTCAGTTTACTGATACAGATGATTCTCTTTCAATATGATAAAATGATAGAAACTCCTGTAATTTCTATTAAGTACTCTTGAAATTAAATCTATTTTACTGCTCATTTTTTCTGCAGTTACAATCTTACCATAAATGAAAAAACTTATCAGAGGAATGAAGATTATTTCTAGGCTGAATTACATAAAACCACTATCTATTTTACATGTGGAAACTTACATCTGATAACACTTCAAACTGATGTTTAAAATAACTCTAAAACAGACAACCAAACTTAAAACCCTTAGGACTCTTGTTCTGAAAAATCAAACTACTAAACCAGTGAAGTATGAATTAAAGACTTTGTAGGAAGCTATGCTTTGTTTCATAAAACTAAAATACTACCTTCAAAGAGGAAGTCACAGTGTACTGTGTCATATTTCAATTTTAAAGTTATAAAAAATCTAATTTTATGGAAACATTTATTCATTACTAATATGTCAAAACCTTAATGCAGTAATAAAAAAATGTGCATCATTGAGCAATTTCTGCATTGTCACTGACCCCTGTCTTAAAATGCTGCAATACAGAAAACTCAATTTTAATGCATGCAATAGCTTATGAACCAGTGCTCCTTTGAAACAGTCAATTACACATCAATGGGGGAGTGTCAAAGTGTTAATTACCACTCCTTTTTCCTTGGTGCGTAAATAAAGAGGTTGCTGACATTAACATTCCATCACACAGCTTCATGCTACAAAACAAATTAACTGGGACAGAATGTGGTTTTCTGGGTCTAGTGCACCTGGCAAAGCATTATACACAAACACGCTTACAGCTACTTTATCTTGGTATATTTCAAATGCCTTATTATATGTTCAGAATAAGTCAATCTTCCCCAATTCCAATGGATGCACAAAATTTACAGATGACAAGCATTAATGATTACCAAATTGAAAACTAAGGATAATCAAAGTAGATCATAATTATACTCTTCATCTGTATCCTCAACAACCAGGAAGACTAACAATTCACTCTTAATATTGGAAAATATAATCAATCTCTAATGTATTTTGATTATTGCCTAGTAGGAAAACAAAGCACCTTAGTTTCAGTTGACTCCA